AATAATAATAATAATAATAATAATAATAATATTTCTGATATTCACCAGTTTCTTAACCCTCTATTTGTAACAATATTAAATGTCTTTGACAACAAGTAAATAGTATCATTTTATTTACAAGTAACATCTTTTAAACACCTTTAAAGAATAAAAAAAATAAAGTTTAAAATATCATGTTTTGTACCCTGATGAATATCTTCATACAGTATGTACTGTGTGGCAGTTGTTTGTGCTTGGAAAGAAAGAACTGATTTCAAATAATTGCTGAGGAAGTCATTAAACCAGGGGTTGGCATCTGCAACTGTTTTTCAGTCCTGCCCAGCAACAGTTTGACCCCTTTTATCTGTGGAAAAATCCCAGAAGTCTCTTCCCAGCAGGTAGCTCCTGTCACAATTTGCACATCACATTCATTGCAATCACTAGCATAATTGCTCAACTTTGGGAACTCCACAGAGGGAGTATAAGTAGACAGGCTACCCTTTGCTTGCTTATTCATACCGTTGAGGAATTCACTGACAGAATGATGGCAGTTATAAATTCATTTCTTCTCATCTCAGTGGGTGCTCTTCTCCCTGCAGTTCTGGCCAATAACTCATTCAGCTTCTTCGATGCCCTCTCTTCAGCTACAGCTCAGTACAACAAGGACAGCCTAGAGGAAAATGCATTTAAAGCACTTGGTGAACATCCCCTAGAAGGAGAGGTGAGTATAGTAGACGTCTGAATTAAGAAAAACAGGGATATGTTGACTGACACTTGTAATTTCAATAAAGAAGACTGGCGGAATGTTCTGCTTTAAATTTTAAATACTAGTTTAATTATCTTTTAAAACATAAGGTTCATAAGGATGATTATGGTATGGTATCATCTCTAGATTTCTAACATTAAGTTTCTCACCTAAACATAGGCCAACATGGTAACTGTATTCTTTTTGGGGGTTTTGTTCTAAGAAACTAAAAACATTTAGAAGTACTGTACTTCAGGTTAATTCTATCCCTAGCTGACCCCCCTAGCTCTGTGCAAAGTAAGATTAAACTGATTTACATAGGAAATTAATAAAAGGAGATAAACAGGACTGTGGCATCATTCAGAAAGTACTAACTTGTTTTCCAATCACTATGCAAATTCAATTTAGATAGCCATGAATACTTAATGAACTGATGGTCCAGAAGATAAGATCTCCATTCAAGCATTCGTATTGGAAGTATATGAAAATAATGATTGCTTCACTGTGACATTCCACTGTTTTCCTATCTTGACACAGGATCTTGCATTTTCTATGGATGGACTCTCCTATGTTTACAAATTGTCTTTTACACTTGGGGAGACGGTGTGCTCACGCTCAGAGGATTACCAGGAAAAACAATGCACCTTCAAGGAGAATGGCGTAAGATTATATGTGAAGCTTTGACCATCTGTAGTGACTGATTTAATATGCAGTAACTATAAACAGTGTCAATAACCTTTTATGATAAATGTTAAACCTACCTTTAATGGTTAATACAGATTCTTAAACTTACAATATCTTCTTTATTTGTCTGCTTTGCAATTGAGGCATGTTATAGTGAAATTAAAGGAAACAATATAATGGGATGTGAAACGATAAATATTTTATAAAAAAAATAAAAGTTCTTTAGATTTATGCAGTCTTAGTTATTTTTACTTTATTAAAATCATTGTGCTTGAAAGAAACTAAGATCATAAAAATGAGAAAACGTCATATATTTAACAAAAAATACTAAAGCACAGATTTAGAAATATGAAACAATGTCTAGTTTTCTTCATCTAGAGAAGAAAACTAATCTCCATCCCCATAGCTAGGGCATGTCGTCCCTTAGTTATCCTCCCAAATTTTTCTCTTACCAGCAGAAAACATGTAACAAATGTATTGTTGAAATAACCCAGGCTGGGTTTTCTTCTAATTCTATAGTGTAGCAGTAGTAGAGTAATAAAACATGAGGTCTTTTATTTCGGATAGATTAAGATATTTCTGTCTCCCCTGCACAGAAGGTGAAGAGATGTACTGCCACTGTCTCTGTCCTGAGTGAACACCCTAGCCAGGCAGCCAGTGTGGAAGTGAACTGTGGTAACAAAAAAGAGGTAACAAAAACTATGTTCTGTCATGCCCTTTCAGTTATTGCATGCGCCAGGAATACCCTTCAAGTTCCCATTCTGTTTTAAGATCAAGCACATACTATGAATTTTAGAAATGAATAGTATCACCATTCCCCAACACTGAAAAGCCGGACCATCTAAATAGATTTTTACTTCTGCTGTGTATATACTGTATAGACTGTGTAATGTTAAAGTTAGACTGCTGTTTACTGCTTATTAAGGTCCATCATGAGCATAAAGCCATCTTTGTGCTGTGGTTTTGTCTATAATAATAATTGCTTACACTTATATAGCGCTTTTCTGGACACTCCACTCAAAGCGCTTTACAGGTAATGACAGGGACTCCCCTCCACCACCACCAATGTGCAGCATCCACCTGGATGATGCGACGGCAGCCATAGTGCGCCAGAATGCTCACCCCATATCAGCCATCAGTGGGGAGGAGAGCAGAGTAATAAAGCCAATTCATAGATGGGGATTATTAGAAGGCCATGATTGGTAAGGGCCAATGGGAAATTTGGCCAGGACACCAGGGTTACACCCCTACTCTTTTCGAGAAACCCCCTGGGATTTTTAATGACCACAGAGAGTCAGGACATTGGTTTTACGTCTCATCTGAAGGACGGCGCCTGTTTACAGTACAGTGTCCCCATCACCATACTGGGGCATTAGGACCCACATGGACAGCAGGGTGAGAGCCCCCTGCTGGTCCCACTAACACCTCTTCCAGCAGCAACCTTAGTTTTCCCAGGATGTCTCTCATGCAGGTATTGACCAGGCTCATACCTGCTCAGCTTCAGTGGGTTGCCAGTTGTGAGTTGCAGGGTGATATGGCTGCTGGCTGGCTGCTAAGTAAATTAATGAATTTCAATGCATTAAGGATCCTGGTTGTAACACAATATTTGCAATTGTTCCATGTGAGTGTGTGCATGTGAGGGGTGAAAACTTTCTGAAGGCAGTGTGCATGATGCAGAATCAGAATTCTATTTAGCAAGTTCTGCTTTTCAGCATTGCTAAATGGTGAGAGCTAATTGATAGGTACACTATGTACAGTAGTACCAATGTTAACTTGCCACCATTCGTCAGTCTGTTCCAAGACTGGGACTCGCGCATAGGAGACAGCATATTTACTGTAGGCAAGTGAAATGTTTTGTAACGACGAGCAAATCTTCCTCACTCTCCTTTAAAAGTCCATAGGAATCAGGTTTATGGCTGTGATTAGGGGAAACACGCAGGAACCTCTCTCAAATGTTTCACCGGCAGGTGAGATCTCGAGGGAAAAGGAGCAAGGGGTCCAAGGGAAGTGGCAGAGGTGGCAGAGGCGGAAGGGGGAAAGGAAGCGGACGTGTGGGATCGGGCTCATCCGTTGCTAGTCGAGGACATGGAGGCAACACTCGCACAGCTTAGAGCTGGTTTGACAATACTAATTTTACTCTTCATTCCTAATAGAAATAAGACCTAGCAATAAATGGGCTCATAGAGTCCAGTGATACCTGTCTTGTTCTTTCAAGGGGTAAGATACAGAGTAGCACAGACAGAAAATAAAAACAGACCTAATCTTACTATTGTCCTTATGAATTCTGATATGCACCCTTGATTCAGTCATAATGTAAACCAAAATTTAGCAAAATCTTTTCTCCTTCAGTATGAATTTTCTTGGGAATCTCAGTATTAAGATGAAAGTTAAAGGAACTGATCTGAATGTTTATCTTAGTGAATAATGCATGAGTGTTGGAAATGTACAATGTTCGACGGGCTTGAACTTCTCGGTCTGATCAATAAAAATAATGTGGATATCCATGTGCTCCTTCAGATGTGCTTACTATTCTCACCATTAAGAATTAAATTTCTATCATTTGTCAGAATGGAGGATCAAGTTTCCTTTCCTCCCCATAGACAGAGATTGAAATTAAATTAATCCTGTAACACAGAAGACTCCTGTAAAACAGAGTAGTAGATTAAGTGATTGAGTATCACACTGGAACTTAAGTATACTGTGTTGTGACTTTTTACATTTCCCTGTTTATCAAGCTTTGTTAAGTACTTCAGGAGCTAATTGGTTTCTCGCATTTCTGCAGTTTATCACATCATTAGATGCACTTCTTTGAGCACATTAAGGTCAAAGTTTCTATTATAAAGGTTTTTGGATCTTTCAATTCAATGTCTGTTCTGAAGAAACAGATATCAGTTAGCACTGTCTTGGCCTACAGAAACAGACATATTCCTTCATTCCTTCTCATAAAAGATAACAGCCTCTTTTCTGCATGAAATAAACATTGGATTCTCTAAAGATAATTCATATCCTAGTTCATAATTCATGTACTCTGGAGGTTGAAAATCTGCACACGAAAGGTCAGATTCTATATTTCACATCTAAGTCTGATTAGACAGATGTTGCTTATCTTCCTTTGAAGCTCCACGCCCTGCAGTTATAGTCATACACTATTTTCTCTGTAAATTCACACCACTGCCTTTGTTGAACTTTTAATCCATATTTAGATACTATTAGCTAGAGACCATCTTAAATTAATGCTACAAAACATCATAACTTCATGCAAAGTTAGCATCATATGCCATGTTGGTCACAAGAAGTTAATATTATCCATAAAAAACACTAAGGCAATTTCTATTAAGTAAAAAGTCCATTCATAGTTAAAGTGATGTGTAGAATATTCTCAATATATTGTATAATATACCTATAGTCACTTAAAAAATCACAAAAGCTCTTACTGTACCCTTTTCACTGAAACATTATCTTATATATAAACATTATTCACAGTACTGTAGGTGTCATTTAATATGGTGGTTCCCAAAACACAACAGTGTACTTTGGCAGAAATATTTAAACTAATACTTCTTAGGATGCTCAGTGTACAAAAACATATATTGAAGCATGCCTTTTTTAACAGACAAAGAGTTGTCTCTGAATTGGATTTTGTTTTTTAACTGACCCTACTCAAGACAAATTATTAATGAGGTTTTTATTTTATTTACAACAGCACAGACAAATATACAGTAATAATTAGAAAAACACTAAACATTTATTCAATCTGGAATTTTTCATAGAAATCACTAGGATACATTGGTGAATTACAGTACACTTCAAAAAGATATTGGCATACATATACCATATGTATGTACAGTAAACTACCAAAGTACTAAAAGTTGTTTGATAAACCACTTTAAATTAAATTAGTTCTGAATATTTTTTTTTCTGATGAAGGACACCAATACTTTTTTCTGTGACTATACACTTGCTTGTTTACAGTTCCATTTTAAGAGGTAATGTAATGTGTACTGTACATACAGTATATGTTAAAGATTTCCTACTCTAATGTATAATTGAATATTGCCTAAGTGCTACAGTATGTATGCACATTTTTTGTGCAGTTTTTATTTGTAAAAAAAGTCCTTGCTAATTCTAATGACTCTGCAATGAAGGTTAAGAGTGTTTACTTCTAGATTCTGATCAATTAGAGGGAGTGTAAAAAAATCTGGCTAATTGAAGAGCGCATGAATTGTTTCTATAAAAAATTTTGCCCACATTGTTTGATTGAACAGTGGGCATGATTGAGTGTTGGGTTGCTTTGCCTTATACTGTAACTTAAACAATCCATTTCTTAAGGCTGGGCTGTATCATTAGTCAGATATGACAAGGATGCCCCAAATGGTAGTGTAGAATTCACCAAAACATCCTCAGGTTGCAAAGCAACTGCGACTTCTAGCTGCCTGTGAGTTTGCAGTGATGACAGGGTGTGACCTACTGTAGCATTTCTCCATTTTGTGGTTGAGACATCTAGACATTGCGCTTCTCTTTATGCAGTACATGAAAAGCAGAACTTCTCTGTTGTAAGAGTTCATATACATATACAAGTCCTCTTTCTCCCATTTTGATACAGAGGATGAAGCTGCAAGGTTAGCAGATGATCAATTGGAAATAGGTATAAAAATGCAGAATAATGATTAATTTTGAATTATAAAATTGTTAATGTTGTACATAAACCTGTATCTGTATTTCACAGAGGGGGAAATCATTTTAGCTATGGTATATTTATTTTCATGAGTATTAAAGTAATTTTCTGTGCCCTATGAAGGCAAAATGGAACATAAGGAAACAAAAGAACAATAAAGGAGATTGTGACTTAAAAAAAAATTTACCCCATCCTAAGTAATGAAAGACTGTACAAAGGAGAACCAACTTTACTTTTTATTTTACTTTAAATCATATACATTATCTTCAATGATATACAGTATACATTTAACAGACACAAAACAGGACCTTTTTTGGTAATGGAAAACAAATGAAAATGTGTCCTAAAAGCTTAACAAGACTGCAAGTACTGTCATTCAGGCATGACTGACATGTTTCTATGGCATGGTTCATTTTCAACAAACGTTTGTTATAAAATAAAACAACAATAAAAAAGAAATCTGATCTGGAACACAGATAGCACCTTAAACTTTAAAAAAATATTTTTCTTTGCTTTTAAAACAGGTTTGTCTCATATAACATCAGATTAGAGTGGGTATTGGCAGAAAAGAAGGTGAATTTTAATGATAAAACTATACAACAGACAAGTGTGCAGAATGCAGTATATGTAAAATGGGTATGTTGTAGATACAGTATACAGACCATATTTGTTATAAAGTAGGTGTTGGTAGAGACCTTCATTCCACATGAACTTTTCTGTACAGCATCATTCTACTGCTTTGAATCTGACTACTTGGAAAACTTATAGTTATGCAATAATGATTAATATCTGTAATTCTGTTCCCTTTTTAAGAAACTACAGACAGTAGTTTAAATAAGGTAAGTATAATGCTTGACTTGAATTAGTAGGGTATTCATACTTTTATGTAATATGTTTCCTTCAAAGAAAATGGTGACAAAACACTACAACAATTTAAAAAAAAAGGAAACTAGGATGTTGATTTGTGTATAAAAATATTAGTTATACTGTTTCATCTTACAGCATATCAGTTTCTGAACCAACACAGGAGAATCTCTGAAACGATGTATGAAGATGATAAATGTGCAAAACCTAAATTTTGGAAGTATAAAGGAAACTAAGCATTTTCTTCCTGTTGAAGCCATGCAGTGAAGTAAACCTTTCAAATTTTACTTCGTATTTCCCAAAAGGAAACTACTGGATGTCTGCACACTAGTCAAAACATTACTAGGGACAGTCTTAAATACTGTACAAATGTGTTTTAAACTACAGATTTTATATTTTAAAAATGTAAGAGCTTGTTGAGCATTCCAGGGTTTTGGTATAACAAAAATTATACTATCCTAAAATATAAAAGCAAGCTATTGTAATAATCCGAAGTTCAAGTTCAAACTATGCACAGCTGTAGATGCTCAATTATTGACATGCATATAACGTTTCTACATGTAACAGAACATGTTCAAACTCACTTTTACTGAAACATAATATATACATTATATCAAGGTCAAAACTACAGAAAGACTAGAATAAAATATGTTGACACTATTTTAGCTGCCTTTACCCATCCTTAGAATTTATTACTGGACTTAAATGAGTGTCATGTCAATCTGTCTGTGTCAAATTATTTCTTGCTCTCTCATTTTGCTATAAAGAGAAGCGCAATGTCTAGATGTCTAAAAAGAGTTTAGGAGAATGCTAATTTGCATTCATAACATTAGGTCAGCAGCTTATATTTTTTAGTGTTATTTGTCATACAACAACGTAAAAAGAGACAGCACCCTTTGTGGTGTTATTAAATAAAATAAACTGTTTACCAGAGTCATTTGCATGTGGCCCATTGTACCGTACTTGACACTATGATATTGCTTGAATTATATTTGCAAAAATGTGTAGAGTACTAAATAACCTTAAGACAGTTCTCTGTTGTACTACAACACTGAAAAATATCAAAAGTTTTATTAACCAAATTCTACAGATTTTATTGTCAAAACTGATCATTTGAATGTGGTTACACAGAGGACTGTGGAAAATCATATTAAACCTAAGACACAACTGGGAAGGCAGTGGATACAACAAGGTCAAAAAGAACTGTATGCTTTATTCCTTTCTCTTAGGTACCAAACAACACTATTTCTGATCAACTGATGGGAAACATTGAAAATGGAGCACAATGTGCAGCATTATCATTTCTCTAGCATTGTTTTAGGTAAAACTCAGACTGCTTTAGAGGTCAAGACATGTCTTACAACATTCATACTGACATTGGGAACCTATGTATTGTATTGACACAAATAAGGGTCTGTGAAACCAGAAAGATCTATAGGCTGATTGTTAAATTGTGTTCAAATGAAACAACTGTGACCAAATGTTCTACTGCTGCCAAGTGCCAGACCAAATTTTAAAAGACAAAGTAATGTTATCAAAACATGAAAACATCAGTTATGTTATGAAATAAATGTCCAGTCCTAAACATAAATGGCTTATGTTGTTTACAATGAACTGGAATTACTCATTTCAAAATAATAAACCACTGTGCTGCAAGGCAATGCAATATACGGTACATATACTGCCATTAAAGGAAACTGTCTTTAAAATGAGCCAGGGGAATAAAAAACAGAGGTTAAAACCTCTGTACATTGATAATGGAAACTGTATTTTGGAAAACAGGCGCAGAGTCTGGCATATTACAAGAGACCTACATACAGTGGAACCACACTTACTACACAAACCCCAGTAAGAGTGGGAATGACAGGGCCACAACAACTGGAAGAACTGACCTTGAGTTGTGGGATGACAGCTGCTGTCAGCTTATTAACAGTGTTGTAAACCCAAATAAAAAGTTACTCTCTGCATAAGCAACAACGACACCAAAACATACAGTATAAAGGCAGAAGACTTTGTACAGTGCAAAATACTTGTGTATTTTGTGTTAGTTATCCTAATGAGATAATATTGTTGTTAATGCTTTGAATTTTATAGAACATTCAAGTTTGTACAGTGTTTTTCAATATATGTATTGTAGAAGAAAATATTAAAGCAATATTAACAAATACACTTTAGCATTCACTACATTTTAATAATATATCAAACAGTTAATTTGCTGTTCAGCAGCAGTGCTTATGCATATTTTTTTTCTACTCATAAATGTTTAATACATTTGTCAATAGATTAAAAAAACATAAGGATTTGCAGATTTAATACTGCTCATTAGTTGTTCGGACGTGTAATCAAGTGAATAATCAATCTGCTACAGTTTGACTTGTTAAATCAGATAATTATTCCTACTGTTTCAGCAGCTATATGAAGTTACTGGATCAACTGGCTGAAGGAAAACTATTAAAATCTCTGGGGTCTAAATGAATGACCTTACTACAGTATGTATTAAGTGTCTCTAAATGGGCGTATTTACATTATAGATTATTGGGCTGTTCTTTCAAAATCAAGGTTATTCATATGAAAATCTTTAATCAATGACATAAGTTATATGTTACAATGTACACATGCACAATATTTTAATGCTGTATCTCAAATAAATAAACGTCACCAAAAGGATGGTGCACAATGTTTATGAGGTAAGCCACCTTGAATGAGTCTACATTTTTAAAAAATATTCTATTAACACACTAACGCATTAAATATACTGTATATACACATACACATAGAGGCCTACAATGCACCAATTGCTTCTAGTATATGCTCCTGGTTGCTGTAACAACCATCAATTTCCCTATGGGATTAATAAAGTATTATCTATCTATCTAACCCTTGTGAAGAATAAGTGGCTTTCTGATTTAGATTGATGGATATATATGTTCATATATGAAAATATGCACAGCTTATATAAATACATTCCTCATTGAGAATAACATGATAAAATAAGATTTTGCTTCTAAAAGTGTTTTGCAATTATTGCAATTGCAATTTCTTAGCTTGGGGAACAAAACATGAATAACAAAGGAAGAAGCATAACACTGTCATCAGTCTTACTGCATTGGCTTCAACTTCATTTCCATTTCAAGTGTGACTAACCTCACTGTAACACTTCCTTTTAATAGCAGGGTGAATAAAGGGGTTTAATATCACCCATTCATCTTCAGCAGAACAAACAGTATTCATAGACTAAAAGAAAATAAATGTCAAATCAGATATTTCAAATTGCCACTGGAAAGTAAACACTAAAAAAGAACCCAATTTTACGACTTCATTGTTGATTGTAAACAGTTGTTTCAGTGTTTTCATGCTTTTAAGATCTTAATGCTTAAAACTCAAACCTCTTTACAAAGACCTTTAATTGTTCAGAAAATACATATTTACTTATCCTTGTTGAAATATGACACAGCACACACACATCAAACACACTAAGCACACAAGAGAAAATATGCAAGCTTACAGTAAATCTATTTTGTCCTGAAAGTTGGTCTGAAGTCCTTTCTCTTGCTTAAAAGAAGTGTAACAACTCTAAAAATGTGCACGGCAGCAATTATAAGAACTGAAATTAAGGTTCATGTGCAGAAAAAATATCTGGTACATATTACTTCTTAGTAGCAAAAGTTACCAGGCAATTCCCTCAGTTCTATTACAGCTGAGTAGCTCCCCTTTTATACCATAACACTGACAGTAGTGTGTTTATCCCCAAGTGTTTCACTTTGGTTTCAGCCTTGTAGAATAAAATGGAATAAGGCCAGAGAACGAGAAAATGACATTTGTGCAGGCATCTATACAGTATACAGAGAACTTGTGGACCCTGAATACATTTTAGCAACTTGATACTTTGGAGTTTACTACAGAAAGTGCAAAACTCTCTTCTGCAGTGGTGGTACAGGTTTTTTATCCATCTTAAGTTCTATCAGAAAAACAGTGAATACTGTGAATAGACAGCTGAAGAATAAAGGGGCTGTTCACAGGAACTGATTGATTCGGGATCAAAACTATTGTGGACAACAGATCAAGATGAGTCCTCAACTAATGACATAGCATGCTCTTACACTACATTTTTGTCCCTCCTGCATTCATAAATGTCTCAGTAAAAAATGGCCTAAAATTCCTTCTGCTTAATTCAGCCTATACAACATATTGTTATACACTATAATAATAAGTAAAATTATAACAAATGTTCTTGAAATGCATATTTGTTTTGTTCAAAAGTGTTCAATTGTTTTCTGTATCAGAAAGAAACTGTTTGCTAAAAAGTTTTATTATTGTAAATTCAGGGCACATTGTGGTGCAGTGGTTAGCACTGCTGCCTCACAGTGCTGAAGAACTGAGCAGCTATCTGCATGGAGTTTGTATGTTTTTCCTTGCATTCATGTTGAGTTCCCTCTGTGTGCTCTAGTGTCCTCACACAGTCCAAAGACATACTAGCCGGTTAAGTGGCTTCTGGGTTAACTGGCATGAATCTGTGTGTGTGTCTGAGTTTGTTTGTCCACCCTGCGATGGACTGGCGTCCCGTTCAGGGTGTATGCTGCCTTGTGCCTGTTACTGGGCCATGCCTGTGATCCTGAATTGGATGAAGCAGTTAGCAAATGGATGGATTGCTATTGTAAATACATCCCTTCTTATTGATTAAGTAATAAATGTATAATCCTATTTTAAAATTCATTTCCCAAAGTATACACATTGGCAGACTATTCTGTTACTCAAGCTTATTGTAATATTGTAATCAAATAATTGTAATCATAATTGGTCTATTTGTCAAAAGCGTTGTTTTCAGCAAAGGCAATGTGAACCATTCGTTCTGAATCTTGGTGGTTTTAGCCTTGGCCATGTCATTAAACCAATGTGATAAGGATTTCCCAAACAGTGACGTTCTGTTTGCTAAATAGTGTCAGGGGAGGGTGTGTATTATTTAGCTTGTGTTTTCTTGACTTTTCGCATAACAACTCCTTAATGACTCCTGTAATTATCAAGCTCTCGGTGAGAGATGCACTGCTGCTCCAACATTACCTCTCTTCCAAGGCATAATGAAGCTTGCAGTTTATCAAATACTGTCTGGCTTTGAAAAAGGGCATTTTGGAGGAGCTTGTCTGTAAATCCTCATCTGGCCTGTGCTGTACTGGCTTTATAGCTGTAGGCCCGAGTCTCAGACAACTGACTATTCCAAAATGGGTGGGTAAAAACTGTGGGCATAAAAAAGTTTGCAAGTCCAAATAATAAAGCCCCAACTTACAAAACCATTGTTTATAAAAAAAAACATTTACACATTTATTTAAAAAAAGGATTTAAAGTAAAAGTTTGTGGCTGTTGAGACACTGGATGCCCATTCTGCTCTGTCCTTTGTTTTCCTGTGCTTTATATCCATGCATCTCTTTCCTTCACCCTTTGATGAAGGCTCAATAGCTGAAACATATTTTTACCTTCTAATTTTCAGGGTTGAATTAACCTCTGCTTTTTCCTTTGTAACCCACGCACTAATGCACTCAAATCTCCTGGATACTGTTAGGACTCTTTTTCAGTTTCTTTACTAAGGCTGAACAGCCATTATGTTGTCTTTGTTCTAGTTTTCTGTGTGGGGTTAACCTTGTTCCTTTACAGCCAATGCATGCTGATGCCACTCTCCGCTCAAAACAATGCCACACACATACTGTATATATATAACTTACACGCATTCATGCTTCTCCTACCAAATATTATTAGTAATGATGTAATTTGCATTTTGACAAGACATTTGAAAGACAATTTTTTAACTCTGATGCTGACAAAAGAGCCTGATTTCTATGCAATTTTCAGTAAACCTAGACATCATGTAACAAGACAATTTTGTCATTTTAAAAGATATTAAAATTATTTTTGTTTGTGTCCCACGCAAAACATCAACTGTCACCATTTTTCAAAGCCTGAAGTGTCATAATAGTTTAATGATAAAACAAAAGAATTGATCAGGTAACACTAGTATTATAATTTAATAAAGAATTTCCTAAACAAATGTCTTTAATCATACATTAACGTTTATAAATACATTTTGTTTCTTTGGGGGGGGGGGGTAGACAAAATATTCACAATGGAAGTGCATGTTCCACTATAGGCAATGGAAACATCGAATAGGCTTAAACTTTTTTTAGAGTACAGCAATAAATAAAGCACCTTTATCATTTGTAAATATTCTGTCAAGTACTGGAGGTCTTAAAATATAACCTTCTATATACCACATTTCTGAACGATAATCTAAATAAAGGTTAAGATTTAGAGACACATACTAATATTAATATTATTCATATTAAGAAATTAATATTTCTTTTCATAATGGTTTTAAATACATTCCATAAACAATGCATGATTTGAAAATGGAAAAAAAAGTTTCTGTTGGAACTGCTTTGCAGGAAACATCACACCTCCAATGTAATTTTAAGTACCTCAGTTGAAGTGGTATCGCTATTGACAGAAAAGAAAGCTCAATAAAATCAAGAGCATACTCTCTTCATGTGATGGCCTAACAGGACACTGAAAATCTGATGATTTTTGTTCCAGGTAGGTTTTAGCAGCTTAGTGTTAAATCAGCTTGCTTTTAGTGCATATAAAATTAACTTTACAAAGCCTGTACTCATCAACACACAACTTAAAAAGTAACACCAGTAATGAAAAAATAACATTAAAGATAAAAGTAAAACCTGTCTAGAACAAAACCCTTGACTGTATGACAGTTTATATGGTTAAAGTTAGAAGTCATTGGGATGCTTGATCTCTGTGCTCAGCAGCAAAACTCCCTTGTGTCAAATAAGTGACAGCTTAGACTGAGAATTCCTCAAATGTCCTATTTCAACTGGAACCTGTCCTAAACATACCTGATGGCTTTCGAGCTCCAGAAACGGAAATGCATGTGGAGCATCCCTAAGTTATACATTTTCAATGTTAGTAGTTCTGTTAAAAAGAAAACTAAAATGTTCTATATATATATGCAATGCTTACATTTATTTCTCAGTCTTAGTCTGCCTATACCTGTACAGTATGTCTTTGTTTTCTCTGCGTTGTTTCCAAACAAATCCGGCCAACTGAGTTACACCAACACTAAGCACTCCAAGTACACAAACAGCAGTTCTTAATAAAGTTGGTATTCCAACATTGAACTAGAACGATCAAAAATGTCCTGGAAGACGTATCCTTACTGTCACTCATTCTTCAAGCTTGTGTAACTGGAAGACATTGAGGATAATAACCTTGCATTTTCCACAAAAATATTCAGCCTAACACACAAAACACTGATGAGGTTTGAACAGATGATCTAAGGCCACACCATTATCTGAGTCATAAGACCTGTAGATGACAAAAAACAAACAACAAAATACATATGAAATTTTAAAATAATTGTATCTTTAACAGAAAAAAAGCCTAATTATAATATTAAGATAAAACAGAACATGAACACTGTTGCTTGAGTTTTACTTTATTAAATCCATTTTTTAACCAGATATGCCTTAATAAGACAGATTTTCATTTACAGTGATGGCCTGGAGAGGACACATTTACACAGCAGCGTATTTACTAGTGCAATCTGAATATCTATCGTGTTCAGGGGGTATACCACCAGCATTGCACCCGGAATTTGACTAATCAACCTGGGTTGATATGTAAATATTTGGCTAGTCCTTCATAGTTTTTAAAATACATTTTTCATTGCACCATTTATATTGCCATATTACAACCCTCTCCACAGCAAGTAGGACTATAACAGATCAATAAGTATCTTCTAATTTCAGTCCAGACCTTCTTTGCTGAACAAACTTAATTAGTAAATACTGATGAGCCAATGATTGCTTGTGCACAAATCTCAGGCCCGAAACATGTGCTGTTAAAGTGTTAGAATATGTCAAAGAAACCTGGAGTACCTGTAGTGTTTTAAGGCACTTTTAACTCCTGATCTCTGTATCATGTTGTGGTGGGGCTTCGTGGTTGATCTCTTCCTCTTCCTCCTCCGTCCATTCTCCCAAGCGAACTGGAGAGCGTCCAGAGAGACTTCCAGGTTGACTATACTGTGTCTGAGAACCTACAACCGAAAACCAACTGTGTTAAAATCAACCTTATCAGATATCCACAAAGTAGTGTTTAGAGTTGACCTTCTCAAACAACTGCCAGTTGTCACATGATCTCAGAGTTCACATTGATTTCAGTATTCACACCCCACCTTTGCAAATCAAAATGTTTCTGATTATTGGTCCAGATGCAAAATTAAATCAGTTTTACAAACACTACTGAATATACAGATCCCGAGCCAAGCAGTCAATATGCTTTTTCTGCTACTGTTGGTTAAAGCAATACCTAAACCAAAATAATTCCTCACAGTAAAATGACTAAATAAATAATAAAAGAAAACATTAGTCGAAGAAAAAATGCACTGGGTAGGTGACACTGTTGGCACAGAAAAAAGTTAAAGCCAGTAAGATCTCTGTTCTTATTTACTGTAATAAAGAAGGAAATTGCAGCAGAGTTGTTAATTTAAATGAGGTGGATGCCTCTGCCTCTTCCTTGAAATAAACTATTGCAAGCAATATTTGTTAACAATATTTGCAAGCATAGAGTACCTTAACCATCAAGTAGTACAGAAGGAAGAACTGGACCCTGACTACATCTATTCCTGCCAAGGTAACATCTCTGCTGGACTATAATCCAGGTAAAATTGCAGCACAGATACCTCTTATAAACAAGCAGAGCCAGACTGCCTGCTTTTACTTAAAAAGAACAGACTGTCTCTATAACGGAGAAATTTGAAAATAAAAACTGAGGGATTCTCGTGACCTTTTTAGAAGAGTGACCTCCACATATCCTGTGTTTCCTCTCAATGAAAATGTCTTTTTGTGCCAGAGCTAGGAAAAACCCTAGGATTACTTTATTAAGGAATACAACCAGATCATCCTGTTCCAAGACCATAACTCACATGTTGGTTTGTCTTAACTGTTCTCAAGCTCTAATACTTCGAGCTCAAGATTTGTTTTTAATGTGTTCTTTTTTTTAATCTTTGAACTTTTTTTGTGCCTGCTGGTTGGAAGACGCTTTCCAATTTAGAAACAAGTTGCCGAATAGCAAGTTTCACATGTATTCAGGTTCGCAGCCATCATCACTGCCATTTCTGCTCTTATAAGCTGCATTTGCTGATCCAAAGAATGCTGAAGCACACTGGCCCCTGCACTCAACTCTGCAGGGTCAGACTCATTTAATTTCTCCTTACTTGCAGAGGAAGTGGGGAACCAATGCCATTTCTGCCATGCCCCCCCAACAATCACTGACCCTTCAGAAACAAACTCAACAAAAATTATGTGGGGAACAACTAGAAAAGAAAAACAGAGGGGAGTGAGTAACAGGAACTTTAGTGTCAGGTCACCATACTGGAACCCTGGTCATGTAATCAAATACAGGTAACCCTCGGCTAACACAATATATGCATTCCATGATGTCTCCTTATTATCTGAAGTAGAAAAAACCTAGAAGGCAGAGGAATGTGCTCTAGAACCTGGAAAACATAGAGGTACAAAAGGACATTTTTGCTAAATACTAACAAAAATTAGATGAACCTAGCTTTGAACCTGGAAACACTTTTATTTATAAGAAATATTAAAGATTGCATTATCATTGCCTGGCTGAGTGGGACATGGTGTTGCATCATATCATCCATCCAAAAACTGGACACTGCTTCATGCATGTTATTTTTAGTATCAATAGGAGTTAGAAGCTTAAGGTTAATCTTTAGGTTTGACTGTGCTAACCCACATGAATGCACTGCTATACCATATTCCACCACTTCTACCCACTATGTGGTACACATTTCTGTTGAGAGCAGGGTTTGTGTTCCATTAGTGGGAGTAATAAAAACACTTATCACTGGCAAAAAAAAAAATACATTTCTGTTATGAGGAGCTTGAATAAAGAGAAAGGGAGACAGAAGTCTCAGGAAGCACATGTCTGGTTAGGCCAGGTGTTAGAGACTACATACAGTATATCTTCACTGACCGTCTTCTGTTGATGCATAAAACATTCAGGTGTTTTTACAGAACAAGCACATCATTCAATTTTTTTCTTTGGAATAGCTTTCCATGACTTTTTCAAAATGTCATTAAAAAAAAAAAGAGCTTCACACTTTGTTACAAAGCAGTATCGTTCCCATATGATTTGTTAAGTTAGCTATTACCTTATGTGACATAAACATTTGAAAAATAAATGTGCGTCGCTCTGATAGCCACAGATACATTAAAACCATTAACTATTGAACTGTATAACAAGTTCAAAGCTGATCATTAAGAAACTGTGTACCTCACAATTAAAATGTTGTGCACAGAGACATCGAAAGGATTTTTTTCCCTAAAGCAAAATAGGGAAGTGGATGCTTACATTAATTAAATGTTCATTATTATTTTCAAACTCCACCAAGGAATGTCAAAATCAGTCTAAAATTACTAGAGATTTAGTAAAAGTAATTTCTGTAATTACAGCAAATACAGTAAAGTAAGGAAACACCTAGAAATATAGAATAAACAAAATCCCAAAGTAAAACATAAGATGATGTTTTTCAAAGGTATTAGTAATGTGAATTGAGAAAGACAAAGTAAAATTAAAAATGTTCTTTTAAATTGGTACAGTAGCCCATATAGACCATTATTGACATTTCCCTGACCTGGCATGTTGGATAGATCTCTCATTGGCACTGGTGCCTGCCAAAGTCCTGATATCCGCTGTGGTTGGGAACTTTGCTGGTGGACCTACAGCATGGAAAAAAAGGCAGAGTTGGGTTGCACGTTTACTTTCTTAAGTTAATAAAGATGAGCAGAAAAATATATAATGTCTTTCATCTCAGTTCAATTCTGATTGGAATGTGGAAAATACAGAAATCTGATTATTGTCACAAACCCTTTGCACTAAAGGATGCAACTAATTTCTTGATATGAGCGAATACACAAAAGGTCTTTGATAAATGACCCTGAACAGGTCCAGCGTAATATGATATGTAAATATTTGTTTAGTCCTTCAGACTTATTTTTTTAGAATCTTTTCATTGTACTGTTTTGCTTTCGTAATGTCATATTCCTGGCCTTTGATTTCTTTATATATTTTTTCTTGCATTTGTTTCTGTTTGTAAATTACAGTTAACTTGACCATGTGCTTGATGGGTTGAATGGCCTCCTCCTCCTCTTTGTATGTTTTCTTATGTTTTATTTTCTCCGTTCATTGCTTAATGCTAAATGTTGTGGAGCCAAAATTAATTGCCCATTTTTGTACACAACACTTTACCAGCAATAAGTTAGATTTAAATGATCTGCTGTAGCAATAAAGCCCAATCCATTATACAGGATCGCAACCATCCCATCCACAAACCATTCTCCACACTGCGCTGTGGCAAGTATTGTAGTTCCTCACTATTAATCCAGAGATCACTAGGATTAAGAACAGCTTCTACCCTACTGCAGTACACATCCTTAACAGCTAACTGCAATGCCTCAGATTCAATGCACCTCTGCACTATTTTTTGCATGGCTTACTATGTATTTTTTTTTCCCAGTACAACATATATTGTTCTGTTGTTATTACTTATTCCGTTTGTAATGTTCCGTTGTGTGGTGGTGTCTGTTCCCAATGTGAATATGACAGATGTGACAAGAAACTCCTCTACTCTACATATCGAAGGTCAGTACCCACCTCATGCATGTAAATGGCATGAAGACTCATTTCAGCAGAAGCAAATTCTGACTGTAGAGCCGAGTGGTTGGCACTCCGTATTCTGGAGTCACTTGCAGACATGCTGAAAAACAATGAATCAATATTTATATTAATATTCAAAAATGTAATTCTCGCCAATATAGTGTTAATTTGTTCTAGAAAAAAATTATAACACCAAAAGAAACAAGCCCGAATAGCAGAATTTCCTTTAGTTTCTAGTCTTTTATGTTGTGTTGCTACAATGAAACAGCAACAGAAAGTAAACGTGCAACCAAACATAGGAAATGTTTTTGGTGGACATTTCTGATGTCATTTCAGTGTATAATGCTAATAATGTGTACAGTTTCTATGACAAAGATATGTGCCAAGGTAAACCACTTAAAATAGCATAACATAATAGGCTCTCTTCGATATATTTTCCATCAAATGTAAAAAACCCTGAAAGACAAGAAAACAAACACATAAAACATACCCACACTCACCCACACATGCCTTACATACAGCTTGAGCTCAGAAAGTATAAACTATACAGAACTTACTTTGGTACATTTAATATGTTATATATATCAATACCCATATAGCTATTTATTATCATATACATAAATACACGTGCCCAGATAACACTAGTATTTCAATCATGGAATGAAAAGTTAACATCTCTCTTCCTTCTCTTAGTAACAGGCCAAGACAGTCATGTTCTGAGATTACCTTTCGTCTATGATGGTCCTTTCACTGCGGTACATGGGGCTCTCAGGGTAAGTGGAGGGCAGCAGGGTGTGTGACCGTGTCCGGCTGGGGAGGTGTGAGGTGCAGAGGGACGCCAGGACACTAGCAGCGGCGGAGGCAGTGGTGCTGGGTGGAACAAAACGTCGATCTCTGCCGGGCAGCCCCGAAGCTGTGAGGACTGGATGAGCCAGAACACTGGCTAAAAGGTTTTCAGGCTGGGGAGACAAAGACAAACACAATTCAGGAAAGCCGAACCACTCAGAGACACCAAGGAACAAAGAAAAATAGGGATCTGAGAGATTCCTTCAATAACATTAAGTGTGACTGGCTGCTTTATGTTTAAACTACTAACGTTTCAACAAAAAATACAGAATACATTTGTCTGGATTACCACTTTGGTATAATAATTAAAATACATTTAACAGAAGTCTAAATCCTGTTTTTCAATTGACGTAACATGAACAGGCCTGGCAAGATCACACTACCAATTTGTATTCCATTTGAATGAAAAACATGCCTCCAGAAGTTCAAACCATCAAGACACATTCTATATAAAAAACCTGCAGTCTGTACTGATGAGTTGGGTTGTACAGTATCCTGAGAAGCCTGATACTCACTGCGGTGCCAGACTCGTTGGACAGCAGTGAGGTGCAGAGAGGGGTGTCAGACAGGATGTGCTGAGCAGGGGGGGCCCCAGCAGCATCCTGCTGCACCTTCTCCTTCAGGTGGCTGATGAAGAAGGAGCTCTCCTGGGGGGGCTGCCAGTGAGGGTTCTTGATGGTAAAGTGCATCAGTGATAGCTCTGTCTTGCCATTTTCGGCCTGCTGGTACACTGAGGCTTCTGTCTGGCCTTCAGACAGCCACTGCAGAAAAGAGTGTAATGAGGGATGGTGAGATTCAGGGGTAAAAAGAGAGGAGATGATCAAAAACATCTTTTGGAGGTACTGTAGTTCAAATATACCCTTTGCGAGGGGGCAAAAGGTTCAGACAAGATGAAGGTCCTACAGCCCCTTACACCTCCTACCCCAAATTCTCAAACACTTAACTTTCATCCTGCTTTAACACAGTCCCCTAACAGGGCCTATAATTCTCAAAGCATTCACAACTTTCATTAAAGAGTACATCAGAAAAGGAAAAACCTAACACAAGTTACAATCTTAAACCTGTGCCACATTATTTCAAACATTTTCTGAAAACAACATTCTGGCACAGACATCTAAATCTCACACTTGTGCAGTTTAATGTGTAAAGCTTTACCAGGTGCTTTTATCTTCAGTTTAAAACTATGTTGATGATGCTGTGGATTAAACACTGCTCTGTGATTTGTCCAGGTTGTGCTGACTGACCTGTGGGTTCCCGTGCTTGCGAATGTCCATCTGAGCAAAGGAGCAGATGTCGCCCACGCCTACCACCTCCACGGTAAAGTTGCGGAAGAAATCAATTATCTCCAGGGACTTGCGCCGCAAGAAGAAAATTAAAATAAAGGGAGTGATGATGGGACTGAGCAGCTCCTCCAGGATGAAAACCTGCAACAGAAACACCACACTACTGTATCAGCATCCACAGGCAGACCAACAACTGGTCAAGTCATCATAACAAGTCACGCTGAAGTGAACATTAAATTCTTGTTAATTATAAAACTAGTCTTCAGGTAAATTATCTGCAGTGGTTCTGATAGGCTAAAAAACTTACTTGCCAGATGGCTGCAAATATCTTAGCAGAGACCCAATGAGCACCAGATTACAATACTTCTCTATCTAAACCTCATACATGTACAATAGTTCACAACATCATAGGCTTTTTCTTAAAAGTGATAAAAAAGTAAAATCTCAACATAAAGCCAAAAAGATATACTGTATGGCCAGACAGAATTATCTTGTGAAATACATGCAGTTATTTTTCATAATTTATTTTCATGACCAAATAAATTCTTCTTTCAATAAAAATATTTGCAGCTACTGTATATGAAACTGTAATTTTAATAGACAAATAATAGCAAAAAGGTCAATGAGGTCAATGAGTGTCTCACATGCAGTACTGGGAAAGTTCTTAAAGGTGAATGACACAAACTTGTTTTGTGCATAATACTTTATAACCAGATAATGTTTTTAAAATCATTAGTCTAGGTTTCTATAGACTCATAAATTACAGCAATGCATGTTGCATGTGTGCAAAAACAATCATTGATATATTCTTGTAAAAATAACTTTACATACACCTTCATAAAAAAAAACAAAGGCAGACAGAAGAAAACAGTCATCTTACAGACAATATAAAGCTATAAGGTAAACTGGTTTTCAAAAAGTGGTGACTTGGAGTGATATGGAAAGAAATAAATGTAAATTAATGTCATTAAGATGCTATGATCAGGCAACAGATGTGGAATTGTAGAATTATGTTTCAGAGGAAGTTCTTAAAAGAAAACTTTTAAGAATGGTGTGATCTCTTAAAAAAACCTTTAAGGGCAGTAAGACAAACAAAATCTCAATACGTTCAAAGGAACCAAAACATACAGTACTAATGCAAGAGAAGAGTACAAATTAGGCTAATGCGGTGATCTCTGTTATGTCTTTGAGCTGCTTATAATAAAAGAATGATAAGTGGAGCGGCTGGAACTGGATTTTTCCAATTTGTGAGACTAGATGCAACTAAATTGTCCCTTTCACAAGATATTACACTCTTGACTTCAAACTTGAGTATGTTGTTCATGGGAAATATTTAGGTCTGATTGAACAACTGCATTTTGATTGTACTTGTAGTGACTGTATTTTGGTCATAACAGAGCCAGTTATTAATCATTCAATAAATATAAAATTTGTAGTTTTCAATTTGGGAACATTTAAAAGTCTGTGACACTAAATATCCATAATAGAAACAGAAAAAATGTATATGCTTTCCTTTTAACCTTGCAACAAAACATTGATGAATGTAATTTACCAGAAAATGTCAAGTACCAAGAACATTTCTTTAGTCTTTCCTCTGATGAGCAGATCTCCAACTAAGAACGACCAGTTATTTAGTACAAACATAGGTATACTAGTTATCTACAAGTTGTTTTAAGCTTGTCATGTATAAAATTAGACCCTCACCGCTTTGTACTGAAAAAGCTGAGCCATTTCATCCCGAGTCTCACTTTTGTTAGCATTTCCCTTCCAGTGGTCAGGCATGTAATGAATGTGAGCCAGCACATACTGCAGGAGCTGCTCTGGGCACCACACCATGTGCTCATCAGGGATGAAAGACCTGCAAAACATACATGGTTAAAAAGCTGGCAGACAGACCAATTTGGAATGGCCACTGTGGATGGCTGTCCTACAATCTTAAAGAAACATGTACTCAGCATGGAACTAACTGGCAATAGATCCTAAAAACATTCCAGCTACAGGGCTATTTTGCAGCAAGCTTTTTAGCTTTGACTGATAGATTTGACCTATTTTAGAGATAAGGAATTGCAATAAATACCTTTACAAGGATTTAGACAGAAAATGGATGTAAAGTTTGTAGTCATCTCTGTTGTTATAAACACAGCAAGCATATACAAATGCAATGCCGAAAAAGATATATAAAATTCTGCACTTCTTCCACTAAAAAGATGAAGATATTATATACTGTATTTATAAGAGATATTTTAACACTGCTTTTTGAAACAACCATTACATCTGATCTCAACTTTCTACAGAAATTGCTGTTTCTTTCCAAGTTTCATCCACTTTTTCTCTTTTCAATGAAAACTCAAATGATAACTTAATGGGATATCCAAAACAAGGACATTTTAATCCCAAGACACACCAGCTATATAAAGAACTTATTGGACAATTATGTTAATTTATCCAATACCATTATGTCTTCAAGTTTAGCAACAAAAGTAAAAAAACATGTCAAGCTTTTTATCCATTTGTTTAACAATGCAAATAAAAGAAACAGAAAATGGGCAAAAGCTTGATCCAACAGTTCAGGCCCATATCCTGTACTAACCTGGAAATGGTGATGACCACACCTAGAATGGTAATAGCAGTAAGGATGTGCTGAACAGTGAGCACATCCTCGTCATACACAGTCAGTGTAATCAAGACGGCCAGGACGGAGCCCGAGAAGAAGGCCACATTCTTGGCGATAACGGCGAGAAGTGGTGAGGTGAAGGAGTTCATGTACTTGGACACAGGCTTGTAACCACGGCCCAGGCGGCTGTGCAGTTCATGGTCCAGTTCGTTGAAATGGCGCAGATATAGACGCCCATAAAGGGACCAGCGCCGTGCCCCCAAACTGCCAGGCTCCCGCTTAATGATTTCTGTATAACTAAAGAATGCATATAACACCTGCCACACCAAAATGAAGGGGCACAGCAGGAGGTTGGCCAGCCCTGTCAGCAGGATGATGTGGCTGAGCTGCTGGGCCAGTTCCAGACGGTTCCCGGCTCGCTTGTACTTAGGGTGGAGGTTCCACTTGTTCTGGAAAAGGGAGCCAGGCCCCCAGAAGAAGATGAGCTCAAAATTATACTTTAATCCCTGTGTGAGGAAGACCACGTCCCCCAGCAAGGGCACATGGAGGTTAACAGGCAGGAGGGATTTGTTGACCATGGCTACCATGTAGTTTTTGAAGCGCAGAATGCGGTGGTAGATGTCCAGCTCAGTCAACTCTTTCTTGTGGATGCACATCTGCTGTTCTCGCTGCAGGCTGATCAGTCGGTCCTGTACCTCCTGCCAGCTGTAATTACACAGCTCATCCTGGAATGTAAGCAAGACATAGAGGAATCGAGCTAGAGACTGGGTGATCACTTTGTTAGAAATTAAAACTGAATCTGGGCTGTATAATAGACTTGGTTTAGAAGCTAAGCATATAATACATTTAATGAACAAATGAAATAATTCCTCCTCATTAGAGAACAACAGTGGCACCTTTAAAAATAGTTACAAAAAGTATGTAATATGTTGTAATCTGTAATCTCACTGCAATATGGATTCTTAAAGGGGCAGAGCATAATTGGCTGAGTGTGGTTTTTAGTCAGGGGCTTGTTTTGGCCACGGATTCCCCTGCTTAGCATGCAACAGCAACCCCTATGACCTGCCAGGAGCCTGTCAGCATGCAGTGATGTTAGTGAAAGCTGCATCAAAATCAACTCTCTTGGATAAATCTTGGGATGATCAGTGTAACAAATTGCAAATGTCACTGACAAGACCACATTCTGGCCTTCATCTATACATGCAAGATGTAAGGGATGTGGAGAGCTCATTGTAGTCAGCTATTTCTAATTTGTATTTGTAAGTTGGGGGGGGTATAAACAGAAAAAAAAGATTTCAATATCATTTCAATGAAATATCAAATGTATGGCATTTACGTCTATGTGACATATCTGTTAACTGATCAGTTAAGGCTGGAAAGGAATTTTACTTCATAATGACTTTACATCTGAAACATTGAATTAAGACGTGAAGTGCAGTATGGTAAAAAAAAGCTATGCCAATTGTGGCATAACTGTGAAATCTGAAGAGAAAAAAAAAGATTCTACTATGTCTTGGCTATTATTCTGGTATCCTACAAAATAAAAATCAAAAACACCAGACAACCAGAGACAGGGTTCTGTACTGAATAGGGATCCTGTCTTATTGCTGTCCTGTCTTTTTCAGATGGACGTCACTGCTGAGAATGAGGATGCATAAAATACTTAAAACATTTAAAGACTGCTCCAAATCTTAAGATGCGCAACAAAAATCAACTAACAAATCACCCTTATTGTCTCCAGTTTCTCTGCCTGATGTTTTTTCAATAATTTAGATGAAGAAAGCAACTGAGTTCACATAAGAATGTGAATTGAAGGTCTATCCTGGACCTAGGTCTTTTTATATTAAGTAACCAACAATCAAGACAAAATACTGCTTTATCCTCTTTCACAGCACAAAATCAGGTCTCAAAGGGCCACAAAAGCAATTCAGGTTTGCCAGTACTTGCAAAACCTTTCTGCTTGTAACCTAAGAGAAAAATGATCATTCCATTATATGAATCTCCTACACAACACTGATTCAGTGTTGGTGGTTCTTTAGTAAACCATTTTCTTATGATAGTTTCTTACTGGCAGCTAAAATAATTCCTAGTAGATATCTATTCTTAAGTTCCATGTAGTCAAAAGTAAAATTACCCAAATACGTAACAGAGAATTCAAATCAGGTATGTCTAGGTTTTCTATATTATTTAAGTCCCATATTGTTGTATTTCTGGGCATGACCAGAATATGTGTAAATAGTCATTTGTTTTCCACATACCCTCCAACATTGTGAACTGATTCCTTTTGTTTTGCTTGAATATTAGGACTGATAAAAAAACAAGTCAGAAATTGTTTTATTGTTTTCTTTTAAACAAAGATTAATAAAACAAAAAATACTGTTTTATTTTTATACATTCTGTTGAATCTATTTTCATATCTTCAATGTTATTATACAGTTTTGATATTATTACCTTGTGGTTGCTTTGCTGGTACAAAGCTATAAAATTTTCCAGCAATTTATTACCTAGCTCTGTATTTGGTTGTCTGATGTCTTTAATGCTTCTTCTTTAATGCTTCAGAAGGGTTTATTGTATAGCGCAAATAAGTTAATGTGGAAAGAAATCACAATATTTTCAAATGTTGACGTAAGCATTTCACACATAGATTAAGTTTTAGAACATGATTTGAAATGCAGCTCTCAAAAGTCAGAAATATTTTTCTCCAAGAAGCAACAGATATTTTGTAAAACCATGAGACTGTAATCACAAAGAAAAATGGCCCTCTTCTTTTTCTTCCTATTTGTATGTGGTGTTTCTTTGTATGTTTTGCAAAGGTATAATAGCCTAGTGAGCAGTGTTCCAGGTTTGTTGCAATCAATGCACTTGTTGCTTAAAGATAATTTAATTAATCCCCATCTCTACAAAGTCTATTAATTCACTCTTCCTCACAGAAGATGAACTGAGAAAAAAACCCATTAAAAAGCCAAAACAGCATTGTGCTGCCATCTACTGGTAAATACTGATAAAAACAAATTACAAATGATATTGACCAATTCATTGTATCTCACTGCACAATTCTACATGCAGTATTTAATGAACAGTACTATGAGTCTCTGCTGTTTTAATACAAACCTTCACAATCACTGCCCTTTAAAAAAGCATTCACTTGAGTAAACGAGGCCCTGACAGACATCAGGAAGTCTTACCATTGTTATTTTCAGTGCCTTGATATAAAACTGGCGGATCTCCCAGTAGCTTAGGAGGTTGCAGAACACTTTGATCAGCCGATAAATCCAGAAGATAGCTGCCATGATCAGAAGGAAAATGATCCAACCATTTTCTTGAATTCTGAGTACAGAAAAAAAGGGAAAAAAATGTAAACAATCCTTTCATTACATTTAGATATGTCACCAGCCCAGAGCTACAGAAAAGCTTTTCTGTAGTAACAGAAATCTTCTGTGAACAATGCATTCTATTAAATCAAGGAAACCACCTCCGTTCAGCTAAAGACCATTATTCTTCCCTGCTTACTAAATGATCTATCTTTATGTGAATGGTAATGTTAAATTTGGATAGCACTGTGGTATGTTGGAAGTGCTGCTGCCTCACAGCTAATGAGTTCTGTGTTAGATTCTCTTAGGAAACCTTCCGTGTAGAGACTATATACAGGTACTCTCCTCATGGTGATTTTTTTTTCAGGTACTCAAGTTTCCTCCCACATACTAAAAACTTGAACACACAAGTGTATAAGGAAACCCGATTCATAGGTTCTAAATCTGCAAAATTACAAAAGCAACCCACTGGAGTTCTTCAGAATCAAGAGCGAAACACGAACAAGAAGACACAGGTAAAACAAATACAGTAAAATCTATGAGCAAGTACATTTAAACCCAAGAAGAAGAGGTGCTTTCGTAAAGAAAAGTTTGTGGAGGAAGGAGAGCAAGCTACCCAGCCTTGTTGCTGAAGCTGATGCCCTGGTGTCTTTTAAGAAACATCCATGGGTCACTTAGTTACTGACAAAAGTAGACCAAGAGGCCTCCCCACATTTTTAACTGATCTAAAGTTCTGTTCTCATCCTGTCTAGGTTAAATAACCATACCTAAATTGATCTCTGCTACGTGTTTGCCCTGCAATACAAGGTGTGTCCTGCCTTTTCACCATTGTTTAATTAGGTGGTCTTTGACTTATTACAGCCATTTGTTGAATAGTAAAGGAATAGAAAAATAAAATAATTTATAACAAGTGTTGTTAAGGAGCCACTGACCATAAATTGCACATTTGAGGACCAAATGCCTATCTAGAACATCTTTATTTATAATTATGTCTCAGTTCCCTTATTTGCTAGTGCATGCCCTGTTGATTGGACATTTTGCCATTATAAAATGCTGAACAGACATGCAAATTAGTCTCTGTTGACATCACTTGAAACGTCTTAAGATGCAAACAGCATCTGGCTCCTTAAAAACCATGCCCAGCCTTACATAGAATCCTGAAGAAAAAAATACAATTAAGTAATACTTGAATCAGTATTTTGTGTGGGAAAAAAAGTGGAAAACTAGAAAAAATAACCATAAATGCTACAGGCCGCTAAGAAATAATCACATTAAAATTAGTTCCATAAACGAGTGGCATATTGAGCATTCCGGAATCCGTAGACCATGCTCTTTATCAGAAATGCGCATTAGGCAAGCCAAGCTGCTCTGTCCGTTACACCATATGCTAACCCAGATACTATACATTAAGCCCCTTACAGGAGCAGAATGTAATTGTAACTCATGCTGTAGTCAGCAATCACAGAATTTATTTTTATAGTAAGGAAAACTATCGTACAGAAACTTTGTAACACATCAGATCCTGGTGTTAATGTTAAAATTTCTTTTT